GCTCATTGGGGAAGTCTTGTCGTAAAGCTAAGGGGAACGGTGACTGCAAAAATCCTGGAGCTATATTTATTGATCGTTTGAATCGGGCCCTTGGGTCTAGGAGGACCCGAGGTTCACTCTTCGGGGACCACGGATTGATGCGTAGATCATTTTTTGTCATGCTGACATAAGGGCTGTAAAGTTCACCGGATCATACGTCTAGCATTTTTGTTGACTGGGGAAGACGCTCGAAATGCATTCGTTCCGCAACCCTATTGCTCTTATAGTTTTGTTCAGACAGAACAGAAGTCACATTTTCTGCACCCCCTTTGCACAAAAACTGTGGTCAAATTCTGCAATCCTCGTCATGGCCAAAATAGAATGTGGCAACGGCTACGGATAATTCATCGTTCATAATCGAAACACTTGGTGGTTTTCCTAGGTCACCCAACTAATCTGAGTGATGTTTTGAGTTACTTTTCAACATGCATACAAGTCCACAGAATTTAGGTTGCGTTTAGTTACTTTTCAACATGCATACAATCCACAGAATTTATATATTACTGTTGAAAGCCTGATTTTCTGTAATGTGTTGGCTTTGGAATTTGCTAATTCGAGCCTAACTCCTTCACCACACATTTAACGTACTTTCATTCATACTTGGGAACCACTTCTCTTGAAAACCCCAGCCATGTATGAAATGAATAGGTTTTTAGTTTACCTCCTCAGCTTATCTCCCACACTTCAGCGTACCAGCGTCATCATTTTCGAAGACCCTGTTCTTTTAACAGAAACAGACCAAAACTAAGAGGCTTCCACTCTGTTTCTTTGAAAGAGGAGGCCATCTTCATTTGAATATGGGTTCGGTGTGGTTTTTGTCGCCCACCAGTGGAACTAAATAGGTCATGCTGTGCGGAACGGTGATTGTGGACAGAAATGCTAATACTGTTGCTGCTTCCACTACCGACAACTTGTAAAGCCAAAACTACCGTCAGTTCCAAAACAGAGCGATTATCCTGTGTGAGAATTGTCGATTTATCATTCATAAGTCTAAGTTTCCAGTTTCCATAATGAAGCCCAATCCCAGAGTGGTTTTCCAAGTGTATCAGTTCAGTCCCGAAGGCTACCAATCAAAGAATCGTAACGCTTGCTGTAGCAAGATCTTTCGTTCGTTTCCATTTATTGTTATCCGGGACAAAGCCACAATTTTACTTACTTATCTCCGACTCACACCCAACCATTGACGCGAATGCAAAAAAAAAATCAAAGTTCTCACCTCAGATTTGAGCATAGGGAAGTTGTAGAAAAACAATATTTCTACTTGCACGCTACGTGATATTGAAAAATATTTCATAGCACGAAGCAGTATCGAAAACACAATAGCTTTCAAGGGCTTCCCCTGCTTTTTGAAAATCCAGTTGGAGAATGTTTGCGAAGGTGTAATCCACTCATGGAGAACTAAAAAAAGCCAGTTTGGATTAAAATACAGATTCCAGTCACATTTGACCCGTGGATAACGAGATTTCGACAAACTGCAGTTTCAAGGACTGGATGGGGGCTGGGTTTAACCTGTCTTATTGAACCACGTCGAGTCACATCGCCCCGTAATTTTTATGTCTCGTTTTGCACTGAGTTGTGTATTCATCTATCTGGAAGTCCTGTAGGCGATGCTAAATCGAGGAATACAACCAGGGGGTGAATAGAAAGAGACCATTCTATGGACATGTAGTGGCCCATAACTGTTCATTCACGGAGGTACAAGTGAACAGGTGAGCGTCACATGTTAATGTGGCGGTCAGCACCATTCGAGTGCTGAATACACGTGATTAGATAATTATAGCCATCAGTCGTCTAGGTGTGTACAAAAGTGGTTTATGGGTAGTGCGACGCAGTTTGATCTGAGAATCAGATCGAAATAGACGACAGCTAGGTGATAATTATAGGATAAACACACCTCTACAATCATTCGTAAGGAAAGGAAAGTAAGCTTGCGAACAGATATCTATTTAGACACCATTACGATGTACTTTGCTGTCTCTGTTTCATTGAATCCTTTTACATTTCGGTTCCTGTGTAACCAGGAATATAATGGAACCCTATTCACAATCGCAGAAACACTGAGATTTTTTGCTACTTAGTCTTAGTGTCAGCCACTGGATGACTAAAGAGTCATTCGGTGCACCCAAACATGAACTGAAAGCCAGTCACTCTACTGTTAAAGTGCTTCAACTGACATAGCTACGCAACCGTATGATATTGTGAGCCTGGTCAACAACTTAAAAGAATCCTCCGTTTTGGGTGTAGAAGATAAAATAAATCTAGTACTTTTATTTGCTGGTAGTGGTGGGGGGAAGAAACACAAGCTGCCCATTTTAGCTTGACAAACTGTTTTAAATTACGACTACCAAAGAAAAAAATAGTTTTCCTATATATATCTTATTGAGCGGAAAAATATTCTGTGAATAAAAATGACTGGTCACCGATTCGGATTTATCCGTCAATAGTAGCAATCCACACACTGTATGGAGGTACAGACGGTTTGCGTTGAGCCGAATTTGGTGCTGCGCGCAAGCCCCTGGCGTCGAGGTACGTCATAGACAGGAGATCGGTAGGCACACGTCCAAGAATATAATCATCCGGCAGAATATTATGAAATAACCATGGAAAACAGCACTAATTAATTGTTTATCGGTGCTGCACAGTGATGTTATGATGTCGATGCTGCTGCTGATGATGATGATGATTATCACCAAAGCACCGTCATCATTCCGAAGCTTTCGTTGTTTAATCAGCCGGATCACACTGAAACAAGGTTTATCCAGTTGAGGTTAAGTTCTTGTGCCTTTTTGACTAGTCTCCTTCATTCTAATCCGCATGGTACATGCTCTAAGTCGTGGCGAATAGCTTTCTTTCGTTCACTCTCCGCTTCTTTGCCGGTGGGTAGAGCTTATTGACTGCTGAGCTTGGAAATAAGAGTTCACATCGTGTGTCCTATTTCGAGGCTCGATTTCATGGTATGACCCGTACGGTTGTATGAAATGACCCGGGCCGACAACATAGAGAGTAGGCCACTGTTCCTTACAACAAATGCCTGTTGAGTATCAAGGACTCTTGCTCT